ATATCACGTGAACACGTGATCTTGTACTACTATTTCGCGACTAATTAATGTGTGCTACAGGCTATAAATATTTGCTACAAGTAATTATTAAATTGTTACTATTTGTTACATGAACTAATATTAAATATTATTTTAAGGGTTATTATAAATTATTGCAGGTGTTTTTATCATTATATTTTTATTCTGTAACAACGTGAAGTTAACACCTTTGGTTGACACCTTTGGTTAACACCTCTGGTCATCACCTCTGGTAAATACCTCTAACACAAATAACTCATTAACTAAAATAGCTCATAAAATCTTCCGAAATGTTATGGAAATTTCTGGAGCTTTCTTGAGATTAGTAATTATAGTCCTGTGACAGGATAGCAATTTTGTATAAATAGAAGTAGCTTTTGCCCTTAAAGTTAGGACAGTTAAAACTTGAATACATTCTGAACTCGATATATGTAATAAATTATTAATAAAAGTCTTTGTGACAAAAAATAATTTGGAACCTTTATTTTCTTAGTGAAATACTTGTTTGATAATAATATCCTGCTTCGTGATCTCAGTATTATTCCGTTTATAATTAACTTTGCTTTGTGATCTTGGTTAATTATAATATTCTGTGTGAATATCAATCAACTTAGTGTCATATTGTTTAACTCCATATCCCTTTAAAAAACCTTATACCTTAGCTTCTTTCGAACAAACCCGTAACATCAAATCCTTTACACCTTATACTTCTTCAAGTATAAAACCTTTCAACTATAACATATTCGTCCAATTGCTTTGTGATCTTTTGAACAATAGTTTCCTTGTTATCAGTTGTTAGTTAATTGTGTTTAGTAAAGGTAATCATGGTCAATAGTGTTATCCTTGGAAAAAAGGAGAAAACGTGTTTAGACATGAAAATAAAAGGAAAAAGAGAACAAATTGAAAGATATAAAAATAACCAATAAAAAAAAGGAGGAAAAAGAGATTCCTTTTTGTCAAAAAAAGAACAAAAACCAAAATAAAAATATTTTACTTAATATTTTGAACAATTTTAATTTGTTTTATTTTTACTTAAATATTTTGAACATTTTAATTTAGTTTTATTTTTATTTTTCATTCATAATATTTTTTAATAATAATAAATAATATAGTCACGGGACTAGCGAAGTGATAAGATACGCCAAAGTAGTAATATATCACTATTGTTATTCTCTTTTATTTCTTTTATATTTTTGTAATAATTTCAAACATAAATTTAGTGTAGCGGAATAACAAAAGTGATAAGATACGCCAAAGCAGTAATATATTGCTTTTGTTATATCCGATATTAAACTTTAATAAAATATAATAAACTATTTCTTTTATTTTTTGGCAAGTTACATCAAAAAGTCTACAATAGTTTTGGTAATGTGCAAGCAGTTTTTAAAGATACTTTTACTCCACTTGCTCATCGTACCTTTAGATATTACACGTACACTGGTCGAAAATTGATAAAACATACACATATCGGGTACCCAATATATGTATGTTTTATCAATTTTCGACCAGTAGTAATTGCATTGTTCGAGAGTGTTAGTAAGCAGGCTGATTACCTGATCTTACTGAGTTTTGTGATATTGTGCACGAGAGAAAGTACAACAGTAATACATTGAATTGTCGTGTGATTATCCTAAATTTATTGAGACTAATTTGTGTAACTTTTCACACTGTTCTGCACAGAACGCAACAATACCCAAGTCTTTTATGCGGTAGTAACTTAGTTTAATTACTTTGGCTATGTCAATCAATACGCTAAATTTTCACATTGAATTGTGAATTTGAAAGAATCAGTATCCATTATTAGCTATATCCATTAATGCAATATTCCTTATTTCTTTCCATGGACAAATAGAAAAATTACTGTTATTTAAACACCCATCATTTTTATCAATCCAATTCCAAATCAATTTTTTTAAATTTTGTTTTAGGTTCTTTAAGTTGCTTAAATAAACTATCGAAAGAAACATTATAACCATTTTGAGGAGCACTATAATTATCATCTGGATCAAATTATAAATAAAATAATAATAATATAAAGATAATAATTTAAAATTCTTACATCATTAAGACTGCCACAACTAATAATATTTACTTATATACAATTGTTAAATTAATAGAATTAATAGGATCAATAGGATTTGGTATAACCCATCAAGTCCATATGTTTTGACATTTTCTGTTATTAGATTTAGAGATCTATCAAAATAAAGATCTGTTGATGTAATTGAAAGTAATATCTATATTAAAATATATTATATACAACATTTTTCCTAATTCTTGTCCGCTTTTTCAATAGTCTATAATTACTAAGTAATTCAAAACGAAGTAAAAAGTGGAAATTCAATTTAAAATAAGTAGTATATAATATAACATTAGTGTTATCACAAACGTTATCACAATATTATTATAATTCCTTTGAACTAAAGTTACTCCTTAAATCATTCAATTTTTTTTTTTATTTTTAATTTCATCGAAAATTAAAAATTCTTTGAATCAAGTCTAATATCTTTAATAAATTCTACCACTGAAGAATTATTTTCTAATGGTTTTAGCGGGTCATAAAATCCAAATAATTTTGCACCACTTAAAACAGTTGAAAAATTTAGTTTAGAACAAACATCATCATTAATTTCATCTCGTTTAATATATTCTACTTTATTTTTTCCCACTATTAATAATAAAACATAAGACAGATATAATAAAACTCATAAAGTGATATCTTTTCATGTTAATTAACTGATTTTATTTATCTTTATATCATAATAAAATAGCACATATATAGTTTAATAAAAAAATATTAAGTATTGTATTAATTTTCTTTTATCTATTATAATAATCATTTATCATCTATACACGCAGATTTTATATATAAATAATGGAATGGTAAGAATTTTCATTATTTATACAGATATGTACATGCACATTTGTGATGAAAACGATGACAAACCTTTTTCGTTGGCATGAAATGGCTAATCACTTTCTCTATCTCACTCCATATATTTTCGCTTTTCTCTTTCTCATCTCTTCTGTCTCGACTGAAGTTTCGTACACCTTGCCTGGTATGTACTGAAACTGCTATAATCTTTTGTTTATTTCAACTTCCACATGAAATAAATTTCTTTATTCTTTTATCAGATGGGTGGTATAGCGCTGGTGATGAACAATATTATATTGTGGGAGTCGATTCCTCGATATTTTATTCAAGTTTTGTATATTGATTATGAACTCTCTTTTTTTTTAAAAAAAAAATAGACCGGTATAAGTGGATTTGTAAAATCGGATCTGATCTTCAAAGAGAGATTATCAGATTTTTTTGGTACTATGATGCAAATTTTTTTTCCTCGAGACTTTTTGGGCAAACGATTTCAATTAACAAGCTTCGTGAAATCCAATGTCGATCATTTAGACAACACAATAATTTCCTTTGTTTTAGAATGTCACAGGTTGGGCTGGTATGTGGATGCGAATTGATACAAATATAACTCAAACTCTCGATAATATGTCTAATCGATCTATCACTGGTAAGTTACTTGTTTGATCGACTTGTATATATTGGAGAATGTAGATATACCCCTGAAGTATTCACGCGTAAGGGAATCAAAAACACTGGGCCACAAGCTTTAATAAACATACTGACATTGTATTTGTAGGAATCCAAAGATATCAAAAGATTCTAGACGTGTTGGGAAAAAAATCAGAGCGTGTATTACTATACAAAGAAAATTTATTAGAGCAGTGAGTATATTATATATTTTATTTTATCGGAATAGCAAAATTATCTAAAAAAATATATCCAGACCTTGATTAGTAATTCATAAAAGGCTAATTATTTTTGTGTGACAGATAACATACTTTTACTTGAACATACTTTTTATTTGAAATTATTTTTACTTGAACTTAAATTTTCTCAAAATGTTACATCAATTAAACAAGAAATTTCAAAACAAATTTCGACACCCAAGTTTACCAAAGAAGCCTCCAGAAGAGGATACGTTAGTGGGATCATGCGAGTCAATTTAAGTTCCACTTTGTGTTAACTCATATGAATTGCAGGTTACCTTTTAATATTGGTATAAATATAAACTATAACAAGTTTCTTGAAAGCCAAGAATCGTCTATTTGCAAGTTCGAGTATAAGGAAGGTGACGTTTCTATCGTAGATATGACCACGGCCGAACACGAATCTGTCATTGATATTTGATAAGAATCTTTAACATTCCCAATGGAAATGGCACAGATCCAGATCCACCAATAGACGTTGTAGGTCAACCAGGTAAGAAATTTCAGCTTTGCTTAATCTTGTCTTGTTGATTTTCTAATATCTAACATCCTTCTTTCCAGCCCATCCTTCACCAGATGCAAATGGACTTTTAATTGAACCGGATCTTGCAGTACATCCGAGCGAGACATATGTTCCACCTCCTAATTCTGGTCCTACCCATCTCGGACCTCCCCCAAGTGACACTAGGGTATTTGGATTTGGTGTATATTATCATTTCTGTTTATATATTATTTTTTTAATATCTACATTTTTTTAGGGGAACCCGCATGTTAGGATTATATGCAAGATTGCAGTTAGTCAAAGCCTTAATAGTTTGATTAATAAATGTACACTTTGATGAGGCAACGATATAATATACGAAATGCACGAAATACACAAGGAAAGTTTGACCGGTCAATGGAGGTATATATAGATATTATTATTTCGTAGTTTCACGGTTGACGTTCTAAAAAACTTTTTGAATGTTAGGCTAGGTTGTGGGCAACCTTTAACGGTAAGATTAAATTGTCAAGAGATTCTTTTCATTTTTTAATTTTATTTTTTTTCATAGGTTTTTTCCTTAAATAACACTAGGACTTCGAAAGGCCCTACAGGGTGTAATTCTCCGAATATTCCTGAATATCAGATTACTATCCCAATTAACTGTATCCACCAATCCCAGTTAATGAATATATTACTAAACAAACTCTCAACTTTTCCCGATGCCTAAGAAACAATTTTCCAAGTGGATACGATCCGGTGTCATTGAAAAGAATATCAAAAATAATTTTGACTCAACTTTAAACACATTATATAATACTTGTCCATTAAAAATTTCCCGTGATTCGATTCACGACATTTTGTATGGAGATCTGGATTTTCGTGACTGGATCGAGGATCAAAAACTTTCATCTTCCTCCACTAAATGGACTAAAGAGAAAAGGACCTATGCGGTTTCAAAAAAAAAAAAAAACTCGGTTTATTCATCTAACGTTGCTAATAGTATCAACAATCACAATTATATAAATGATAAAAAGATACACGATTCTTCTTCTCCGCTAATGAAACAAAATTCTCCTTTACTAACAGCGAACAAGGATATTTGTTGAACATATTATTAACCTTGCGGAAAAATAAATATATCGATTTCTTGTTAATAATGAACATAACATTCCTATGAATGTTATAAGAGTTTTCGTTTCTAAACAAAAACCTCCAGTGAGCACTGACTTTGCTAACGCAGATTTGTTATGCATGATTAACTTCATAAAAATATTTATATTCTCGATAATAAAGTCGGTGTTTCGTGGTCAGTATAAGACCAATCCCGTTGAACATTTCAGTAATTTTTTTTAAAAAAAATGTACGAAACAGGATGGCACATGGAATAGTTATTGATGAGAATGGTCGCTGGAGTGATCATTCACTTCAGAATGTTGCAATATTGGCTTTTGAAGTCGTAATTTGTGTTGGTAAGGAATTTGTGAAAGTAATCTTACTTTATATAAGAGTATAATTTTTTTATTTTATTTTATTTGATATTAGGCGGGAATTATGAGGATGTATGTGCCTATAAAGAAATGTCGATAATGAAATAGTTTTGCGGTAGATTAGTTGTGCAGAAAAGGGTCGTTCCCAATTACCACAAAAAAGAAAGTGAGATGATGCGGACGACGCGAGCATAACGGAGTTTATTATGGATCTTCTTGAGGAGGTCGAAGAGTCTAAAACGGGGGAAACAAAATATCCTAAAACTAGCATTAAAAGAAAACGAATACATAACACAATTCTAGAAAAAAGTTAAGGCAAAAGAAATGTGCAATTCGTAAATTTATCCAATTTGCAAACTTAATGTTTGATATTATAAGTATCGACTATTGTATTTTTTTCTTATTTAACAATGAGCTGCTTAGCCTGTATTTTATTTATAGAACTTGAAGGCGAAAGAACAAAAGAAACAAAAAATCTGTGAGGTATGTATTTGTGATGTTTTATACAGTTTTCAATGTGGTATGGATGGAGAAGTTCTCGCACAAACTGTCACGTCCAAGTCGGCGTGGTGCCTGTGCACCTAGCGATTTGTGAAGGGGCAGGTTCAAGGGACGTAATAGTAATTATGTAGTTACGAAAATTTTGAAAAATATTGAAAAAATTTGTAAGGGTGTTATCTCTTGGTCTTTGCTGGACTCGTTGGCTTAATTGAGGATAAACGAAGCTCCTTCAAGTGTGCTACCTGTTAACCGCACGGAGATTATTATTGTTTTGTGCATCTACCACTGAAAAAACCTCAAAATTAATTTTCAATCGAGCTTACACTTCTATCTGTTTGTTACTTTGGCGGGCTAAATAAATTTTATTCTTGATGACTTTGAAAAAATTGTATCTAAATAAAAGCATATCAGTATATTTTACCAGTTAAATTCATTATACCAATCCTGAAATTCGGAAGCTAAGATTTATTCCCCTCCGGAAATTTTGTATATGCTTTCCTGGAATTAAGGCAAAAAACTTTGTTTTGATTATCAATCATCCACTTATATAGAATACATCTCAGGCCATTAAAAAACCGAAAAAATTCCTAGTAAATCTAACAAAAAAAAAGTCCTGCTGCTGTTTCGGGATTTTTTCCTAAATTAAGTTCAGGTTACATATTTGATTTTGGAGCATGTACATATGGACCCCCACAGCAAAAACAGGTCCTCGGCCAAAAAAAAAAAAATTTAGTTTAAAATTATTTTTGAATTAATATATATATAATTATAACAAAATCTCAAAAAAATTTTTTTTTGTCCGAAAACCAGTTTTTGTTGTGAGAGGTCCCATATCAAGTAAATAATTTAGATGACATGTATAATCATAATCTAAAGGAATAACTCTCAATAAAGTAACATTTAATCAAGCCTTGATATTAGATATACATCATATTCTACCTTTATTTAATTACAGTATTATATATATAGTAAACAAAACAATATTAAAAGATGGATAAACATGATAGTAATAATAATTATATTAACAAGAGAATAATTATATGCTACAGCAAGTTGAAGGAATCATCTATGAAAATCTTTTTTTTACCAATATAGATGATGAGTCTTTTGATCTAACTTCACCAAAAAGAATTTCATCTCTAGTGTAGAACATCCAATTCAAACCTATTGACAATTGTTAATTTTTATTAGTAAAATAAATAACAAAATAATATAAAACGTCAAAGATTGAATTAATGTTTGTATAAATTTATTTACCTATTATTATAAATAGTAACAAGTTAAGCATTCATAGTTTGATTAACATTCTACACTAGACAATGCCTTCTAATATAGAACATCCAATCCTGAATCTATTGATATTATTTATTTTTAATTAGTAAAATAAATAATAAAATAATATAAGGCATCAAAGATTGCATTAATGTTCGTGTAATTTATTTTACCTATTATAAGTCAAGGATTCATAGTTTGATTGACATTCTATATTAGAAAGTATCTTATGTTTAAGACAAAAATTTGTCTTTGTCTTATTTTCATCTATATACTCTGGTTGACTTAAATAATTTATTTTTTCAAAAAGTTGAAGACGACATATAAGGAGATCAGTGTCAGAGAAATTATCAAATATTTTTATCATAATTTTTGCAAATTCTATTAAATAGATTAAATAGATTAATTAGATATTATATGTTGTTGTGTTAATAAATAAATAATATAGATTAATTATAATTTAAATATTATAAAAAATAATTAATCTTACGAATTTTAATTAACGTGAATCTTCAAAAATTGCAAAAATTCCATTAACAAAACTTATCCTGTTTTTCTTTATTTAACTTGTGTAATAATAAACTTGAAGAATTGTATAAAAAAACAGATATATAATTAATTATTTAAAACCTTTGATATATTTAATTCATCATTGTTGTTCGATAAAACGTTTTTTTTTCACATTACCTGATATATTTTTTATCTTTATAATCCAGTTGATCCTGTTTTAAATTAATTTTTTTTTAAAAAAAAAGTAATAATAAAGCAATAAGTAATGGATAAATTGTTTTATTCATTTCTTCACGGCAAAAGAATAAGAATACTTCACCAGCAGGACAATGCGTAAAAGCAAATTTATATAATTGTATTCAATTTTTATATTTTCCAAATTTGCCAAACTAAAAAAAATAATAATAATTTTGTCTCGGTACTTCAGATATTTTTTTTTACGTATTGAGAATCAACCAATCATTATCAATTTAACGGTACACATATATATACTAGGGCTTTCATCCAAATTTTGAATTCTTGAATTTTTTTTTCCTTGTTAAAAAAAAAAAAAAAAAAAAAAATGGATCAACAACATCACCAACCTTCACCTCAGTTAGTTTCGCTTCTTCAAGGAAAACTTGATTCTTTAGTGGGAAAATCGTCAGGTTATATTGAGAACCTACCCGAAGAAGTCAAGGATCGTATTAATGGTTTAAAATATTATCAGTCTGGGCATGCCAAGTTAGAAGCTAAATTTCAAGAAGATATTTTAGCACTCGAAAAAAAATATTTAGAGTTATACAGGCCATTATATGAAAAACGATTAAAAGTAGTTCGCGGTGAGTGCGAACCAACCAAGGAGGAAATAGAAATAGGCGCGACGCTTGATGAAGAACAACAGACGGAAATAGAGGAGAACGCACAACCGGAAAAAAATAAAGTACAAGAGAATAAAGAGAGTAAGAAGGAACCTGTTAAAGGAATTCCAGAATTTTGGCTTACGGCTATGAAAAATTTAGGAACGATTGCGGAGATTATTACTGATCGGGATGAAGAAGCATTAAAGCATTTGATTGACATACGCATGTCATATCTCGAAAAACCAGGTTTCCAACTTGAGTTCGAATTTGAAGAGAATCGATTTTTTAAGAATAAAACCTTGACAAAAACTTATTATTATCAAGATGAACCAGGATATGGTGGAGATTTTGTTTATGATCATGCAGAAGGTACAGATATTGATTGGAAAGAAGGTGAAGATCTTACAGTGACGGTGGAAACGAAAAAACAAAAACATAAGGGTATATTTTCATTATTCTTTGCTTATTGTGGAAACTTTTTTTTTTTTTAAAAAAAAAAAAAAAAAATTAATATAGAATAACAATAATAATTTTATGATTTTAGGTTCAAATAAAACTCGAGTGGTAAAGACCACAGTACCTACAGATTCTTTCTTTCAATTCTTTAATCCACCAGCGGAACCAGAAGACGATAACGAAGACGATGATGATAATTTAGATGAACGTCTTGAAATGGATTATCAAATTGGGGAAGATATAAAGGAAAAATTAATTCCTCGTGCCATTGATTGGTATACGGGTAAGGCATTGAAATATGAGGATGAAATTCTCGATGAATTTGATGATGAAAATTTCTTCGTTGGTGATGTTGAGGATGATGATGATGACGATGACGATGATGATGACGACGATGACGAAGAAGATGATGGAGTAAGTAAATGTTTTAGGACTTCTTTCACTGTATTGTGAAGTTTTTATTTTTTACATTGGCAAACGTTCGTGGTGATATATATATATATATATTGTAAGTATTTGAACATTATTAACACCACGAACATTTAACCAGATGACAATTTAAGTGCCATTAAATAATTTCACAATTGCAATTAGGTGATGTCTTATTATATTTTAAGATATTTTAAGATATCACCTTGTTGCAACTATTACTGATCAAACCACATTTCATTACATTGGATATGTAATAAGATGGTGGAATAGAATGAATATAATAGATTTCAAATAATTTTTTATTATTCATTTTATAAATTTTCATTTAAATTTATTATAAATTTATTTTTATTCCTTCACAGAACATTAGAAATGGGCAGGTAGGTAAATATCAAGTTTTTTGTTGAGAATTTTTATTGATAAATTTTTTATTGATTTTATTTATTATAATTGCACCTTTTTTTAAATAGAACAACCGGAATGCAAGCAACAATAAATATGAAATAACACGATAGATCCTCACATTTTATAAAATGCATCTTTGAAAAATATTACTTTCGAAATGTATGAAAATATTATCCTTTATTTTTACCCATTAACCCTTTCATTTTTTTTTCACATTTTTAACACTTTTTATTGAATTTCTCATCATTTTTTAAATAATAGATATGGGTAGATCATTTTTTTCCCTCTATAGTAAATGTTATGTATTCAAACCTTTGAAGGTAACTTAATAACTTTCATGGGACAAAAAATTATAATATTACCTCTTTAGAAATAAAATTGTTTAAATTCTTCTAATGCATTTTTTTATATCTGTTTTAGTTTTTGGTTATTTTCATTATTACTAGAATAACATTATTATTCATTTTTCATTTTATTAATAAATAAATATGTAGCCAAAAAATTTAGTAAATAATTATAAAATTAACAGAATATTTTATAAATAAAAAAAATCGAATTCTTTAGAATTACGAATATTATAAATTATCTCTAATGTTATTTATTTATATATTTGGTATGCGAATACTTTTAACATCTTTCTCAGCACAAGAAATCATTCGGTTTTATCAACCCTGCGACAATAATACACAAGTTATGATTTTCCCACTAATAATTATATTTATTTTCATATTTCCCAACGTTCTAACCCAATTACTTATAAATAATTCTTACTTAATTTTTGATAAACTTTCAAAAAATCACCTAGGAAATTCTATAGGAAGTAATAATTCCAGAACATCGAATAATATTTAAGTTTTCTTAGCCAGTAATGAATAGAAATTGAGGATAAATTCCCTTTTTATCTGTTATGAAATTTACACGGCTTACTATGTAATTTTGCTTCTTGTGAGATCATAAATAACAGGCGTAATAATTGCGTACGAAAATACATTGTGTAAATAATTATCTCCATAAAAAGAATCAGATTTTAAATAACTAAAGGTAAATTAAAAGTAAATGATTAGTAAAAATCAATTAAAGAAAAGGTGATACTTAACATCATAATAAAATATATTTAATACTCACCGCAAAAAGTTATTCCCTTCATGGGATTTCTATACTAAATTCATCGGTAACTTATAAAATAAAATATCAAACAATTAATTAAATTTATTAATATTAAAATAAACGTTGAATTGAAATTTGAATTAAATTAAAAATTAAATATATCGTAAAAAAGCTTACTTTAGTAGTTAACTCATTTGTATTTTTATCATTATTTTCATTAAGATTCTTAGGCTTTGGAATTGAAATTTAAACATCTTCTGGTGTAGATTTCTGACGAATGTATTTCATATGTTGAACTATTTGTATTATTGTTATCCACTGAAATTGTTAGTTTTTATATTCTTCAATTTGTTCATACATTTCTGATTCTTTAACTTCATCTCTTATATTATTCCTGTAATTACGAAAATCAATCGTCAATTCTTTGGAGTTGATCTTTGTTCTGATTTTGCATCCCAACATCTTTTCATTATGTCTACAAGTAATTGAGGTATAACAATATGAGATGGAATTTTTGGTCTATATCATGGGAAATATTATAGAAAGGAGAAATTCCTGTTAATATTTCAAACTTGATCATTGTCAAACCATATTTGTCTGATGCCTTTGAGTAATTATCATCATCAAATAATACTTCGGAAACTATATGTGAAATTACTCCAAAACCCTTTTGATTACCATCATTAGAAATTCCAGTTTCATCGGCTGGTTTAGATAAACCTAGATCAGTAATAAAGCATGATTCGTTATCATACAAGAGAATATTTTAAATATGTAAATCTCATCATGTATTTGATATAATCCTATAATCCATATGAAATACAAAATAAATTATATAATTTTAAGATTGCATTCCAAAGTAAACATATAATTCTTTGTCTCAAGATCTTATGTAATATCAAAACACGGTACTATTGAGGCAAATTCACACTTTGAATAATTTTTTGAACTAAATAAATATAAAAAATGTAACATAAGATAACTTATAAGTTTATAAAAAGAATATTATTTGAATATAAAATAAGTATAAATTACCTCTTTTAAAAATTCAGTTGTTATATTTTGTGAATTGTTTAAAGATTTTAATGATATACCCATTTTTTCCATTATTTTATTGAATATTCCACTTATCAATAGGTCCTTCCTTTCAAACAACCGAATATAATTTTCCAAATCCTCCTTTATCAATCTATTTCATGTCTTCAAATTTGGAATATGGAATCCATTCAACGAAATCAGTTGTAGTACAATTTGATTGGGACTCTTGAATGACTAAATAACATTTTTGTTCCACTTGTCCAATTTCTAAAATTTTGTTGAAAATGTTGAGAATTACCAATCAATAATGTCTGTATTTTTATTTCTACATTCTTCACATGCTCCATATTCTCCATAATCAACTTCGGTCAGAAATTGAACTTTCATTTCACTACTTCATTTAAATTATTTGTAGTAGTATTTTGCTCCATAATTTAATTTAAATATAAAAATAAGAATACGTGTAGAAAGTCAAATGAATGTTTTAAGTAGTAACGTAGTAACGAGTGTTTAAAAATTTTTTATAGTATAGTATTAAGGATTGTTTAGCGTGATGTCTATTTATTCTAATAAGATATAAAATTGGATTTTATTATTTCTAATTTTCTATTTAAAAATTACGTAGTATCGAGTTTTTAGAACTTTAAATTAAATAATATTTGAAACGTCGAGGCCATAAAACCGAATAAATAGAAAATTTTATCGCACGTATACCATCATAGATTCCTTTTTATACGCGGAGAATTCATAGATGCTTCTTGTGCGATCGTAAATACTGGTTTACTGATGTGTGAAGCGTACGAAAAATTCATTGTAGAAATAATTATCGCTGCAATAACAAATAAGAAAATAAATAAAAACAATAAATTATACTATATATACATATATATTTTTTATTTGAATATAAAAATCAAGAAAAAAAAAAGAGAAACGCAAATATATATAGATATATATATATTCATGAGTTAAAAATCGAGTTAAATATTAAACATAATTATAAAAGATATATAATTATTGATATATTTAAAAGAATTCAAAAATGTCCTGATATATCCATTCATTTGTAACCATATTCTTATTAATTATGTAATCCCAAAAAATACATTTACATATAATTCGATTCGATAATGATAATAATAATATTATTATTTCAATCGATGACATTGTCCAATTCAATTACTTGTTCTGTGAAATTATTATCAGCATCGCTATCATCATCGCTTTTATCATCATCGCTTTTATCATTGCTTTTATCAAATTCATCATCATCTTCGGAAAATACACCGCAATCATCATCACTGTAATCAGGTGCTTCTTGTGCAATAGTGAATACTGGTTGGCTGATCTATAATAAACATTTAATATATTAAATAAATTCATTATAACATTATATTATTATATTATAATATATTTTAAATATATTTTTAAGAATATTTTTAAATATAAAGAAATTAATAGAAAAGAAACAATAGAAATAATAAAAATTGCCGGACCTTTTCTACTCGACTACAAAAATCTTCAAAATCATCCTTTGTCTTACAATAAAATCCAAGTAACATGGATGGATCCAATTGTGAAATAGATATCTTGCGTGGTACATCACAATGATAAGTTAATAGTTCCTGTGTAAAAGTATTTAATTTTTTTAAATAAAAAAATTATACAGCAAATAAAATTTCAAATCTACTCAAAAAAATGTTTAAATAAATAAATAAATAAATGAATATATATATATATATATGTTTACTTCTTCGGTAAGTTGATCATTAGATTTCAATTCTATGGCAGGACGTGAATGATGTGGATCAAGATAGAATAATCCATCGGCTAAAAATATAAAATATAATGAATTATTATTATTCTCTCTAAATATATATATGTATAATTATTCAAATCAAACCTTGTGTTCCGATAAAATAATAAGATGATGAAGGTTTTCCCCTTTTTTTTCAATTGGATATCAAATAAGTTAGATTTTTTGATTAATTCGATTAAAATAATAATTAATAATTCAAAATGATTTAACTTACCCCGCTATCCCTACGCTCTGAGGAAATCTGAAATATGCCTGAAAAAATTTTAAAAAAATATATTTAATAATAATAATGGGGATTTTTTATTTTATTCATAAATTTGAATTTTTTTTCAACATTTGTTTGTTTTAAAGAAAAAAAAAAGAATTATTTTAATTACCCTGAGAGCATCATAATATATTGGGTTTAAATTATTTATTCCTAATCGAATGGCCACCAAAATTAAGATTGATTGGAAATCTTTGTTCTGTTTATTATTTTTTGCTGTTTTGTAGACATCATTTTTGTAAACTACACCATCTTTTGTTATATATGCACTTAATTGAGCTCCTGGAAAGTCTTCCACTAGAGCTCTATAATATGATATAATATGATATAATATTATATGATATTATATAATATGATATAATGTGAAATAATGTGATATAATATGATAAATATAGAATGTATATTATGAAATTACATAAATTACATACTTAATGGCCTGGGATGCAGTGAATGGACCAAACCATTCACCAATACTCTTTCCTAATTGACAACCAATGATTGCCATACGATGAACAGAAAATGGACATCGTGAAGACATATCATCTATAAACCATGAGAGAATCTACAAAAAATAATTGATAATTATTTAATAATTAAACAGAGAATATGCGAGGAATAAATAAATTAAATAAATTAAATAAATAGAAGGAATAAAAGAAGAATAGAAGAATAAATAAAAATAAAATATGTGAGATTCAAAAAGATAAATTACCTCAACATATTTATCCCAAGTTGCATCTCCTTTATGAACTTTTCGCCATTCTAAACAAATCAGATAAAAATGTTTCATAATAATATCAAAAAATTACACCTTAATCTACCGCAAAATCAAATTTACTATCACATCCTGTATTAAGAAAATTAAGAAAAATTTGATTAAATTATTATAAATAAAACTAACCTCTACCCAAGAAATGTAATATTAATGAATTGGCAAGTAATGATTGTCCTGATCTCAACATACATCCCCATCCTCCATCATGTGTAAAATTTGTTGATTTAATCGCTGGATAATTATGTCGATATGTACACCATATTTTGGATGTAAAATCTTTATAAAATTCTGAATTACAATGAGAAAATGATATCGTGGTTTGTGGTTGCATCGAAAGGTGAGGAAAGGTTCCCGGTGTTGAATAATAATTTGCTACTTCATAAAAAGATTCATTTTCTTCATTATTTTCATAACATTTTCCTAATAACCAAATTGAATTATCTTTATTATTATTAACAAATTCTTGTTCATGATTATCAAATAATCCTGGATCGATTTCTGAATCTTCTTTATCAATCTTGTCACCAGAAGAAACCCAAAATGAACTAATCCAATTCGAGAATCTTTTTCCAGTTCCCCCAATGTCCTTATTAGTATTATTATTATCCTGTTCTGAATTTTTATCTGATATCTGAGCATTTCCTTTTTGTTGCCGTTGACCATTTTCAATACCGTCGTCTGTATGATCATTAGCTTCTTTCTCGTGACTATTACTGTCAATATTTTTATTTAAATCATCAGAGTGATTGTGTGTCTCTCGGAGCCTGCCGTTAGACTTAATGGAAGTTTTACGTAGTTGTGATAATATAACAGAAGTGCCTTCCATTGTGTCTTTGTGTCTTTGTGTCTTTGTGTCTTTGTGTCTTTGTGTCTCTAAAGGAAATGTTAAAAAAGAATTATTCTATATAAAGAAATAATAATGATAAATTATTAGTCAGAGCAAATTAACAGTGACAACATACTATTTGTCACATACATTATACATATTAATTTATGATTTGTCACCGCTCCTTTAAATGTGATTTTCGAACCAAACATATTTCGTATCGTTAATACGTTCACGTTTTTATAGTTTTTATATTAAACATAAAGGAAAGTAAGTTTGATCAAATACTGTTATTTCTCATATTCTTAAACTAAAACATTGCCCAAAACAAGATTGCTTACCTAAGTGCAAGAAAGATTCAAGAGACATATGATGTCTTCAGTTGAAACATTATGATGGTGGCTGCTTCCAAAAGCTAAAACACCCTGGAGGAAAATGACTCTAATCAAAATACAGATGTATACAGAGCCTTCAGAATGACTGCGACCCATTCAAAAGGTTAAAGTTTGTTATGCTAGAGTCAGTTTAGAACATTCAATGATGTGATCTCAAATGACAGATTGAGGATCTTCTACAACATTATCCAGGATATGAAATTATTAGTGACATCAGTTCATTCAATTGGAAGTGCAGGGGATTGTTATCCTTTCAGAATGAATATAATCTGAAGGAATCAAAGTGGTAGGCCTGAATGATTTTTGTTTATATAAACAAAAATCATCTTAGATTAGACTATAAACATTCCAGGTATGTGGCAGATTTTGTATTTTAGACCACATACTGAGGTGTCATATTTTGCTTTCTATGCCACACACCTGAGACTACATATTGGGTGCTATATAAGTTACATCTGTATTTTCACTAAGATATGTGGCAATATAACATACATTTTGCTTTTACCTTGTTATTCGAGTGATGTGTGTTTTGCTTTTTACAATATGCACTAAAGTGGTATATTTTGCGTATCAGGTCACATGTGACATAATGTATGCCAGTTTGACAATTATAGTCAATTTTCATCATTAGAATTATACATGTTTCCAAAATTGATTTTGAATTTTTGATGTATTTTGTTTCCTCAAACTTTATGCAAAATCTAATATATATATATGGAAGTAAAAAAAGTATCTAGTTAAGTATATTTTTACCAAAGAATAGAAATCAAGTTTTAAAAAATTTTGTCTTCTATATAAAATAATTTCATTTTCTATGAAAAACTATTTTGACTTTCAGGTCTCAAAATATTTTGACTTACTATAATAATCTATTTTGCATTGTTACTAGTTGACCTTTTAGACTAATTTTATTTTCCAAAAGACAATTTACACTAGCAACTCATAAACAGTTACTTTAGTTTATGAATTGAAGAAGATAATAGAAGAAGAATAAAAGAAATATTTTAATTTAAATACTAAAACTAATTAAAAGACTTAAGAATTTGTAATTACGGGATTTTAAATATTGATTAATGATTAAATTTTAAAGGTCAATTTAAGAAATTAAAGCAAAGAATTAAATATGTTTTTTTTTTTTAGTTTCAGCGAGGCCTTGCTCCAAATTTATTTATTAAGGCAAAGAATTAAATATGTTTATCAATGGTTTATAAAATAATAACAGGATTTTATGGATCAGAATTTATATTCGAAGAATATAAATTAATAAAAAAATAACAAAGTTTTAATATGAAAGATATGAGTTTATTACAAAGAAAATCAATAATCCAGTTTATACTTGCACGCAAAATTATTTTGGGATCCCGAAATTGTAATTTCGGGGAAAAAAGTCAAAATAGTTTTTCATAGAAGACGAAATTATTTTACTTAAAACCTGAAATTTTTTGACCACCCAGA